TTTGATTTATTGTAGAGATGAGGTCTCACCAAGTTGCCCAGGTGGGTCTCGAACCCGTGGTCTCAGCCAATCCACTCACCTCAACCTCCCAAAGCACGGGATTATAAGCTGAGCCACCGAGCCCGGCTAGGTTTCCTTATTTTTGAAATCTATCTGCACAGAATCACACAGTATATACTCCCTTGTGAGCGTCTTCTTTCACCATTATGTTTGTAAAATTCCTTTATATTGTTTACGTAGTTGTAGTTCTTTTATTCTCATTGCTGTAGGGTGTTTCTTAGATGAGTATAGCACAATGTATATACAACTGCACTATTGCTGGGCCTTTGGCCACTTTACAGTTTGGGCTATTACAAATAGCGCTGTCATAAACATTCTTATACATGTCTTGGTGAACAGAAGTAGTCATTTTTTTCTTTGAGTTGGAATCTCACTCTGTCACCCAGACTGGAGTGCAGTGGCATGCTCCCAGCCACTGCAGCCTCGACTTGCTGGGCTCCGGCGATCCTTCCGCCTCAGCCTTCCAAGTAGCTAGAACTATAGGCGTGTGCTACCATGCCTGGCTAATTTTTGATTTTATTGTAGAGATGAGGTCTTGCCAAGTTGCCCAGGCGGGTCTCAAACCTGCAGGCTCAGGCATCCACTCACCTCAACCTCCCAAAGCGCTGGGATTACAGGCTGAGCCACCGAGCCTGGCTGTCATTTCTTTTAGATATATACCTGGGAGTGGAATACTAAAAGATATACATATATTCAGCTTTAGTACCCAGCAGTTTTCCAAAGTTGTTTTACCAATTTTCTCAAATCAAGAGCTACAGTTGCACCATATCTTTGCCAGCATTCAGTATGTTCTGTCTTCCTTTCTTTTGTGCTGGATTGTTTTATTATTAGTATTTTTTATGTTGATAGCCTCGAACCCCCAGGTTCCTAAAGTGCTGGGATTATAAGTTGAGCCACTGTGCCCAGCCTAAATAAGACTTTTAAAAAATATAACCAAGATATTATTATCCTACTTAATCAAATTGACAGTAATTCCTCAATATCATTTTATCATTGATGTAAAATGATATTGATGTAAATGATGTAAAAATAGTCTTGATTCTGTTTTCCCTGATCTCTTTAAAATGTCATTTTAAGGCCAGGTGCAGTGGCTCATGCCTGTAATTCCAGCACTTTGGGAGGCTGAGGCAAGAGGGTTGCTTGAGTCCAAGGGTTCAAAATCAGCCGGGCAACTTGGCATGACATTGTCTCTACAATAAATCAGAAAATAAGCCAGTTGTGGTAGCATGTGCCTGTAGTTCCAGCTACTTGGAAGGCTGAGGCAGAAGGATCACCTGAGCCCAGCAGGTCAAGGCTGCGGTGGCCATGAGCGTGCCACTGCACTCCAGCCTGGGCGACAGAGTGAGACTCCTACTCAAAAAAAAAAAAAAGTGTCATTTTATTTCTGTTTAAAAGTATTGTGGTATACTTGCTACTTTTTTTCCTGAACCATTGAGAGTAAATTCCCTGCCTGATGCCCATTGTTCCTGGATACTTTACTGTATATTTTTGATTAACAGGGACATTCTCACATATAACTGCAGCACAACAATCAAAAGCAGGAAACTCTTGACAAATTACTATGGTCTAATCCTCAGACCCCATTCAGGATTCCTCAGTTGTCCCAGTCATTTCCTCTAGCAAAAGGATCCATTTCAGAATTGTTCATTGCCTGTAGTTGTCACATTTCTCTTCTTTTCTTTTCTTTTTTGAATTGAAGTTGCCCAGGCTGGAGTGAAGTGGCACGCTCATGGCCACTGCAGCCTCAACCTGCTGGTCTTAGGTGATCCTTTTGCCTCAGTCTTCCAAGTAGCTGAAACTACAGACACATGCCACCATACCCGGCTAGTTTTTTTTTTTTTTGTGATTTATTGTAGAGACAAGGTCTCACCAAGTTGCCTAGGCTGGTCTTGAACCCATGGACTCAGGCAGTTCTCTCACCTTGGCCTCTCAAAGTGCTGGGATTACAGACTGAACCACTGCGCCTGGCCTGTTTCTTTCTTTTTTTTTTTGAGTTGGAGTCTCACTCCATCGCTCAGACTGGAGTGTAGTGGCACGCTCCTGGCCACCACAGCCTCGACCAGCTGGGCTCTGGTGATCCTTCTGCCTCAGCCTTCCAAGTAGCCGGAACTACAGGCGCACGCTATCACACCCTGCTAATTTTTTTTGATTTATTGTAGAGATGAGGTCTCGCCAAGTTACCCAGGTGAGTCTTGAACCCATAGGCTCAGGCAATCCACTCACCTCGGCCTCCCAAAGTGCTGGGGTTATACGCTGAGCCACCGAGCCCAGCCTGTGTTTCTTTAATCTTAACTCTGGTGTATATCTTTAGTCTTTTGTTGATTTTTCAAGATCTTGACACTCTGAAGTGTTACAGGCTGCCTGTTTTGTAGAATGTCACACGATTTGGGTTTATTTGATGTCTCCTTATGATGAGATCCAGGTCATATATCTTTGACAGGGTTTCACAGAAGTGATGCTGAGTTCATCTCATTGTGTTATCCAGCAGCACACAATTTCAGTTTGCTCAGTTCCTGATCCTTTGATCATTTGATTAAGGTGGTGTTGGCCATGCTTTCCCACTGGAAAGTTATTCTCTTTTTCTTTGTGACTACTAAGTATTTTGTAAGGAAATACTCTGAAACTATGTAAATATCCCATTTTTATCAAATTTGCAGTATATTCATTTATTTGTGTCTATATGTACTCAATCTCCTATTTTATATTATGAGCTGGAATCTCATAACATCTTTATTTTGATGCTGTAATTGACCTAGATTTGGCCAGTGGAAGTCCCTTCAAGTTGACTACTGTGTTCTTTTGTTTGTTTGTTTGTTTGTTTGTTTTTGAGTAGATGTCTCACTCTGTTGCCCAGGCTGGAGTGCAGTGGCCGCTCCCGGCCACCGCAGCCTCGACCTGCTGGCCTCCGGCGATCCTTCCGCCTCAGTCTTCCGAGTAGCTGGAATTACAGGCATGCACTACCACGCCCGGCTGATTTTTTTTATTTTATTGTAGAGATGAGGTCTCGCTGCCCAGGCAGGTTTCGAACCTGCGGGCTCAGGCAATCCACTCACCTCAGCCTCCCAAAGGCGCGGGATCACAGGCTGAGCCTCCGAGCCCGGCTCCTTTTTTTCTTTTTTGATTCATGTTTTGCTCTGTCACACAGACTGGGGTGCAGTGGCACACTCACAGCTTCCACAGTGTTGACCTGCTGGGCTCAGGCAGTCCTTCCAAGTAGCTGAAACTACAAGTGTGTGCCACCATGCCTGGCTAATTTTCTGATTTTTTTGTAGAGATGAGGTCTTGCCCAGTTGCCTAGACTGGTGCGAATCCCTGGGCTCAGGCAGTCCTCTTGACTCGG